GCGAAGATATCTATATATCTCTGCTAAAGATTTATAATAAGAAATAATTAGGGAAATTTTATACCTGCAGAAATAACTTTTTTTAAAAAAATTTATTTTTATTAATCATACGCAATAATGTTTTTTTTTATTGTGTACTAAATAAAATATCCGAAAAATTAAGTTATTTAAAAAATCGAATATTCGATTCGCACAAATACGAATAGTACATTCGATTCAAAATTTACGAATCAAATATAAACATTTCATTATTCGAATCAATATTTTGTAAACCTAGGTAAAATTTTATCGAAATATTTTCGGAAATTAGCTCTCGATCATATTATAAAATTATAAAATATAATATCTTCGCCTCCATCATGGATTTCGAATCTCTCATTTTAAAATAATTTACAAAATTTAGAAAATCTGATTATTAGTCAAATTTGTCATGAACTTTTTAACTAATCTAAATTTATATTAATTTTCCATATATACATATATAAAAAGAATAGAAAAATGTTCATAGCAAAATTGTTAGAAAACAGAATAAGTATTCAATGCTAGACTACATTTCCTATAAAATGAGATTTTTTCGAATTTTTTCACTCCCATTAAATGATATAAAATTGAGATTTCAAACTCGTTATATAACTAACTAGCTTGTGTTTTCTGTACTTAAATATTTTTTTTCTTATAATATTTATATAATCAAATACTATAATTTATGTTTTTCAAAAATGATTATCTGTTAAAAATTGTCAAAATCAGAGTAGGCAGCATTATATCAAATATTTGGTGATATATATTTTAAACATTAAATACATTATGTTTTAAGTTTAACCAATGTTTGATAATGATAATGAAAAATATTTCAATGGTATATCATTCAAATGCAGGGACTCGGAGTGAACCAGAATGAGCCGCTAAACCATTATAATTATAAATATCTGAACCGTAACCGAGCCGATGTAATTACTTTTTAAGGAGTAAAAAGAACCCCTATATAAAGTTAAACCGATATGAACCGGTTTCATCCAAAATAAAATAAATAATTTTACATTTTATTACATTCTTTTCCTTGTGCTGTATTACATATTTTACCATATCTGCGTCGTTATTGATAACTATTAGATGATCAAGATATTTATTTAATATCCATAAGAAGTATATATTAATTTTTCACTATGACTTAAATTGAACCACAATATTTTAACTACTTCATATAGTGTTAGAGCATTCCTATTTCCTATATTTTAGTATGCAAAATATCTAAATAAAAAATTTTTGATTTAGTTGTATTTAATTAATCTAAAAAATAATCAGTTTTATATATTGGGAATTAAAGAAATTTGAATATCCAAAATTATAGAAACTTGCTCTTATAGTACTTGCGGTTCCCGCAACACAAGTTTCTGTTAAAATGGCTTTTTCGAGGCTAAAATTTATGTTATCCCACAATGAACAAATATGAATCCACTTATATTAGAAAATATATTACTTATAGGTTCAAATAATATATTTAGAAATGAGTTGTGATTCTAATATATTTTTTTTTATATTATTCCTAATAAAAATAAATAAATTCATCTATTTTATAAAACAATATTATTAACTTAAAGTGATTGCAAAAATTTTAATAAATAATTTTTATAATTACAATCATTATACGATGGTGTTGCTTCAATAAAAATAATTTAGAAAAAAATTTCTAATCGTAATGAACCTTGAACCGAACCGAAACTTTATAAATTTTTCTTAAGAACCGTAACCGAACCTTAACCATTATAATATTTTGCATACAGAACCGTAACCAAACTGAACTGGTATAAATAAAGGTTCGGGTCTCTGTTTAAATGTTTAACATATAGGTTTAAGGTCCCAAGTACGAATCCAGAAATCGTTTTTTATTGAAAATAAATGCAATGCACGAATATTTCGAACGCTGTGCAATGAGATCAAAATTTTAAAAAATGGAATATAATTACAGCGGATGAAGATTATAAAAGGATAAACAGAACAAAAATTTTATTATATGATATAAGCTTGAACTGGGAGCCTGATCGGAACCTGACCTGATTAGAGCGACCATTATAATATTAGTAAAGATCAGATGTACCTATACCACCTTTTTGACCGGTATCGCCGAGACTTTTATAACCGAAAAATCGTACACAATTATAAAAGTTCAAACTATAAACTTCCAATTGTAAACGTCCAATTTATTCATAAAAATATCTAATTAGTATCATAAACGATAATATAAACATTAATATAAAAACATGTAAACAAATAACCAATAACTGTCCCATTAAATTGAGAAATTCACGATCAATCCCGGCTTTCAATATATCCTCTTTGTTCTTTCTCAGCTGGCATCCCGTGATCTCCTAATTCTCTCTTCTTCCCCCAAGGAAAATTAATGTTTTTGTCATAAAAATGACTGACATTTAGTATTCCTTAAAAATTTTAATATATTCATTATTTTAAAAAAAATATTAACTAGTACCTTTTTTTTTCTTGAAAATATTTGTTATGACATCTTGTTCATTTTTTGGGAAGAATGAGGGGTGGGGGATGTAGCGGAATGTTTTTTATTATTAAAAATGATATTTGCCAACTGATAAATATGCTAGGAGAGAATTCCTTATGCCAATGCATAACTATTTTGCACGGTCCTGCCTGGATTTCTTTTTAAAAAAATTTTTAAAAAATATATTATATTATTTTTAATTTTTATAGATAATAATAGCTATTTAAAATATTTGGTTCTATAATATGGCCTGCCCCGGGTACATTTATATAATTAAAATACGGCCCGGCCCATGTACCCGGGTTGGGTTTAGAGCCTGGCCTGCAATTTTAGGAGTTCGTGCTGTGCTTCAAAATTTTTTGAATAAATAAAAAATTCGCTCCGGGCCAATTTTTTAAAACTATATTTAATTAATCAGTTTGAAAAACATTTAATGTGAAGATTTTAATATTCATACTTCCTAATTTTCAATTTCCCCTTGAAACAATTTGCAAAATACTGCCAAAATTATTTAAAAACGAAATTTTAAAAATTCCGGAACGAGCTGAATAATAATCAAAAATAAAAATCCGGGTAGGGCCAAAAATTAAAAACCTAAACCGGGCTCAAAAATGGAAATTTTTAAAGGGACAGGCTGGGCTTGAAAATGAATTTTTTTTTTTAAGTACGGGCCCGCCATAAGTTATCGACCTCTGCAGGCCTGATAAATTTATTATGCATTATATAATAATAAATGTTATCCCTATGAGTTTTTAATAAATTTATCAATATCGTGCATATGTGATTTATGAAATATTGATATTTTAAATAAAACTTAAAATTTTGATTAAACTTATATTATTTTTTCTAGTACAATAGAAAATCAATATAAATGAAAATTAATATATATAATTTTTTATGAGGGAAGTAATTCGATTATAAAATTGATATTGCTACTCAAGGAAATTTAAAATTATATAAATTTAAATTAATAAGTAAAAAGAATATATTGTATGGAAACAAAGATGTTTTAAATTTAAAATAAGTAAATGGACTCTGAAAAATAAAATTAAATGATAATTATAATAATTAAAATTTTTAGCAAAAAAAATGTTTTATTATTTTTTTAGTTCCTTGTTTAATATCATAATGTTCAAAGAATATGGCAATGTTCGACTTGTAATCATTTATTTGCAGCGGCTTTGATAAAGAGACTAGGACATGCTAACCATCAGCATGCGTAAATTTAGCCTGAGCACGCCTAAAGTATGTTTTATTGAGCAGCAAAACGTTTGGGCCTAAAATTGAATTCTCGACTATTTTCCCTTAATACAACTTCATTTTTCATGTTTACATTCCATATGTTTTTTATCTATAAATATAATTCTTTTAATTGTTCTATCATACTCATTACTAGGATTAATAATTAAGATTAATTAAACAGTTGCATATTACGCAAATTAAAATATCGGTTAAATGGAAAGGAAGGATTAATTATATAACGATTATTATTTTAACACTTTAAATTAAATTAAGCTTATTATTTATTTCACTGTTTTTATCTGCATTAATTTTCCGACATCATTGTATAGTATGCCATATTTTTGTTAACACTATATATTTTTAAATGAATTATATTATTGGAATTGAACCCATTTATTCAAAACATATCTTTATTTTACAATTAAATTATACTATTATATTTTCTTTTTGAAAACAAACTATTTTTAAAAAATACCACACTATAAAGGTAATTTTATTAAAATATGCGATAACGTCTTAAATGATCATTTTTGGAATGGTGGATGGTGGCTCGGAAGGTTACCGACCTAAACTGATACGCATCCATCCAGGGCCCTCTAACATGGAGGGAATAAAAGCAAATTAATAGCATTAAAATATCGGGGGGTACCTCCTTATTAACGTATATATATCCATTTTAATAATCGGGGTGGAGGGTCTCTCCAGGTCTCCTTCATTGACCTAAATGTGTGTAGAGGGAAATAGACCCAGCAAGTTATGTTGGATAGTTATTTTAATTAATTGCGGCAACGCTAACAATCTTTACATGCTAAAGTTTTTAAAATAGATTATTATTATGCATAAATTAAAATGAAACCAAATATTTTACAGAATAATTGTAAACATAGAACGTTAGTAAATTTTAACTTACATTTCTATATAATTGATAAATTAATTTACTTGTGAAAAGATACATCCTTATTTCTTGGACGTCTATTACTACAAAAATTTGATAAACAAAAAAAACATTGGTCTAAAAAAGAGTTATTTTATTAAGATAAATCCATATGATAATAGGAAACCAGTTATTTTACAAATGGTTCCCAAATAAATGATGTTTAAATAACATTATCTAATTGGGCGTTGAGCTGTCTATGTTGATATAAGTCTATGATTATGACCTGGGCAATTGTTACTATATAGTATACAACGATTTTACTTCTATTATTATAATTTTTTATATAAACTTATTTAATGCGGGTAAAAGACATGGGAAAATTGTTCATTCAAAAGACTTTTATGATCTAAGATGCCAGCTCCACCTCCACCATTACCAAGTCAAAAATTACAAGTATATTTAAAATTTGTAATTAAGATGCTTATAATGTATAGATTTTATATATTCACTTTCTTGCGATTCTAATTGCTTAATAATTATATTTTAATAATTTAATTTTAAAAAATTCTAAGAATGCCCTCTTAAAAAATGTTTCAAATTCACAAGCCAATGGTGCTAACAGATCAGCATTATTATCGCAGATTCAAATGGGAACAACACTTAAAAAGACTAAATCCCCGAATGACAGAAGCTCTCCTAATATAAACAGTTAATATTTTACCGAAATTTCGAACATACTTTTTTTTTAAAATGATCAAATGGATATTTTAGAGAAGGAAAAAGATAATAACGTCAGTGGTAAAAATGAGGAAATTATTGCATCCATGAGAATAGATAATTGGAGCGAATAAGTAGCATTAGTATATCAAATCTTTGCCTAAAAACGTTTACTGAAAGATTATAACTGGTAAAGCTTGATTTAGGAATGAATAAGAAAGGTCGATAGCTCTCTATTTGTCTATTTTGCGAGATTTTGAGAGCGCTTTATTTCCTGCTTAATTGGAACATATTCAATATACTAATACACTATAAAATTATAAGGTGTAAAATGTAAGAATGGAAATCAGATAGATTCGGCTGTTAAGCTACCATCTACACCCAATCATTGCGCCCAAGGTTTTAATATGAACGATCTAAAATCCCACTTGGAGAATAAAATGTTTGGTAGGACCATCATAAATAATGGCAATCTCCCCAAAAGTAGTGCGAATAAAATTATCAACAATAATCAAAATAATATAAACGCCAATTGCCATAACGAAAAATTTTTACCGCATAGCTTCAATTCCTCGAACGATATGGTCGTAAATGGGTCAGCTAACGGGGATTCTCGAGAGATGAATAAATTAAAATCAAATTTTCTTAACGACATTAGTAATAACACTGTTGTTAATTCCTGTAACGCGAATGGAAATATTAGTAGCGGTAAAAATGTGAACGTCACGAAATTTGCAACACTCGGTCGTACTTCTAATCATCCCAAACAATCTAATCAAATCACTAATATTAATGATATTCTGCTTACTAATAATAAAAATAATAACCAAAATGACCAAACGGATAACAAGAATCCACCACCTTTACCCCAAAAACCACCCACTCTAAGACGTTTGAATACCAGGCCTCTCCATTTTGATGGCACTATGAACCCCATCATTGACAACAAAAATCATCGTATCGATCATTATAACTTAGCTATTCATTATACCTTGCAAAGATCTAACAACGGTAAGGACAATTCCAGTGTTAGTCGGGAAGATTTAAGCCTGAAGTAAGGCCAATGATTTTTTTATACAATCACCAAAATATTTACTCATTTATTTTAAACTCAATTATGAATCGTTCTAATTATTTAAAAATATTTTAATATTATTTATACTATTTTTTTATCAAGTCTTACGTTTTATTTACTTTTTGTTTCGCTTAAACCATTTAGAAGTACGAATCGTAACCCGCCTAATTTTAGGGATCTAGTTGATGGTTCTAGGAGCTTGCAGATGATTAACCCTTACAATTCTTCCTCTTTGCTAATGAGAGACAGCAATAATTACCTTTCCAAACAGGCCGATAACGGGAATTTGGCTTCAAACGCCAAAGCCTTGCCCAACAGACCTCCTCTTCCTCCTCTTCCATCCATTCCCGTCAGAAATCGATCACTCACTAATTTGTTTAACCCTATCCCCATTAAGCAGAATCATAATAGCTCGAATTCAACTCAAGATGGCTTTGAAGAAGATTCTAGCAGTTGCCATTCATCATCGCTTTCGTCTAACTCGCTCCAGCAACCAAATACCGGTTTACCCCCAGTAGTCGATCGATCGTCCAAACGCATCCCTTACCCTCGTTTTAACGGATTCGAAAATCCAATCAGTTCCGACATCAGTATACTTTCTTATATAAAATATGGAATATATTTATTGTATAAATAAATAAATATGACCCTAGTCTTTATTTGTTTAACATAGAAATTGTCATGGTTTTAAGCAACTTTCAGCCTATAATTAAATGTTTATTTTGATTCACGTTTGTAGAAAGATCTTTTTTTAAACGAAGGCTTCCTCTGGCTAATTATATTATAATTACGAAATTGATTGTATATTACCTTTAGAGTACATTTATTTTTACCGAGAATGTATACTAGATGCATTCAATTGGTGGGTTTTATCTCATAAGCTTGTTTACCCACTATTTTTTACTATTTTTTAACTTACCTGCCTCTGATTTGGAAATTTTTTATTCGCCAATACGCTGTCACCCAGCCACCTGCTGTTCAGAAAATTCTTGCTACACCCACCCGCCCATTGTCAAAATTTTTATCATGGGCAAGATTTGGCTGTACTATAAATATTAGATCAATATTTTTTTGAAACAAGATGTGAAGACACCCCCTTCAATTGATAGATAAATTTACTTCTTTGTTTTGCTATACAGCTTAGCAGAGTTGCTAAACCTTACTCTTAAAATACCGCGCTACTACTATTGCTATTTGCTAAAGAAAGTAGGATGCTACCGCCACCCATCAAAACAGAGTAGAGTGCTATTAGCTACTATTTTTCAAAAGTAGCTTTAGCTACCTTATAAAAAATTTTTTTTATTTAATGTAATTGTATATAAATCAACATTTATAATATTTTAATATAATGTTATTGATTATAAAAGAAATTAACTAAAATTAAATGTAATAAAAAATAATTATTTATGTTGATTACATTTTTATAATAAAATCATTTATATATTGTCATCCAAAAGTTTAGACCGGCTATCCCTATGTAAAAGTTTTGCCTTACTAAATAAACCCTCAATTGAGGGTAATGGAGCGTTTAATTTAAGAAATATTATTTTAAAATAAGAATAATCAAAAAATTTTTTTGGTGATTTAAGAAAGGCCTATAAGGGATTTTCTATTAGATTAGTATCTCAAAAGATTAGCTGAAGAAGTCGTTTTTAGTTGTAACTAATATATCTTTGTTTGGTAAAAGATTATTCAGCTTTATCAAGAGGCCTTATCACGCTGATCTTTAGATCCAAATGAGTTATGCCAGTTTATTTTAAAATTTGAATATAACACATTATCATCAGTATAGGTTGGGGAATCTAATTAGTTAAAAAATTAGTATATTTAAAATATATCTTATTCATTAAAATTTAGTAAATTTTTTTAAAGTTAGAATAAATTATTCAGTCAGAATCAGAACAACTATATAACCTTAGTTCTACCCAGTGGCGTAGCTAGGAATTTTCCTTAGAGGGGGTCCACATATAAAAGCCTGGGGGGCTTCGTCCCCCACACCCTTTTGCCCGGCCTTCGGCCGGGTTTATCTTAAAAATCATATTGGTTTTTCTTATAATATAAAAGTCCTAGAATTATTAATTATTTTAGTTAGTGTTGTTAAACGGCTCGACTTGAGCTGATTTTTATAAACAGCTAACTCAATATTTTAGCCAAAAAATATTGTTCAAGCCTAGAGATTTCACGAATAATATAAAACTTGTATTTCCATGAGCATAATTTTCGGGCTTACATAATTTTCTCGCTAATATATTGAGTTAGCCATATCGGCTAAAATTGAGCCATTAACCAGTAATTTTAATTAAAATAACACATTGACATAATTTTATTGATATACGTTTCAATTTATTATACTTTTAGAAGTTATTTACAAATAAAAAGCGATTATTTAAAATATAAATATTATATTGATTTAATTATAAATATTATATTGCTTTAATTATAAATATTATATTGCTATAATTATAAATATTATATTGCCTTAATTATAAATATTAGTATTACACTTATAAATTGCTTTAATTATAAATATTATATTGCCTTAATTATAAATGATATATTTTATAATTAGTAAACACATTAAAATTATAGATTAAAATATAAATGTTTTTTTAAACTAAATTTAAGTCGATATCCTTCAAAGTGAAAAAATCAAAATTGTGTTGGCAATATTTTTTTACCAATATATGATAGATGTTTAAAATTAATATTGAGAAACCTAGGCTAATAATCATAGATGACATGTTAGCTTTGGAACCAACTTTTGATTATTATAAGTTATTTTTTTTAACGATTATTACTCACTTTAAATTAAAATTTGCTGGGCATAGCAAAATATTTTGATTTCTTTTGCCATCATTTTCAGAACAATTAATTATTAACAATAATATAATGTTTAGCATTAAGAAAATTAGTATTTTTTATGAATTAGACATGCTAAAAAGATACTGAAGCTTGGCATTCTGATCTAAGCACCATCATCCCTACAGATCGTCCCAGCAACTCTGTTGAGACATTACAATTAATTATTTAAGGAAACTTTAAATTTAAGAACAAATATCAAAACACTTTTAATAATTTTAGCAACACAAATTATAACACATTAAAATTATAGATTAAATTAAAATTGATTTTTACAATGCATACAACACAATAAAACGATCTGTCTTCCTTAAATCCTTTATCAATAGCTTCCCATGCTACTCCAGCTACATTTTAAGCTGCTATGCGAATCCCTCCATCATACAATATGGTGAATATAGGCTTTCTTCTTCAGAAGGAATTCAACAGGGTGATCCCCTAGGGTCGATATTATTCTGTCTAGGAATAGTCATTCTAGTTAAAAAAATTAAAAGCAGTTGCCTGTTAGATCTTCATATCTGGTACCTAGATGACGGAATTATAAGCGGAAGCCCAGAAGGGATAGACAAAGCCCTAGAAATTTTGCAAAAGGATGGGCCAGACATAGGCCTTCTCTTAAACGTCGACAAAACAGAATTCTGTCAGCTCACCTCTCAATCTCCCAACTGTCACGCCTTTAAAGAGGTTATGGCCGAAGAACTAACACATCTTGGCTCACCAGTTGGGGGTTGCTTAGCAGTTGAAGCCTTTTTCCAGGCTACTTAGAATAATTTAAACAATATGGAGGGTCTACTTATGCAACTTCCCACGCATAAATCTTTCTTCTTAATAAAAAATTTCTTCAATACACCAAAGATCCTATATGCTCTACGGTCTACTGCTGTTTTTAAACATCCCAAACCCTTAAGCCAATTCGTGGCATCAAGCCACTCTCCCCTGCAATAAAGAAGGCTTAGGGTTACGATCACCCATAGCCTTATCAATTAGTGGTTTCATCTCGTCCAGATTGGCAAGCTCCAAAATAATAACTGATCACCTGACCTTCCCAGATGCACTGCTTGACGAAGCTTATGTCATATGGAAAGCCTCAGTTGGAGATGAATGTCTGCCACCAGCCTCCCATAAACAAAAGGATTGGGATAATCCGATGATTGCAAGGTCCGTTGATTACCTCTTTTCGACATTGCAATCTGAAGATCATGCCCTATTAGCTTCCCTCAACCAAGGTTTAGGACATGAATACTTGGATGCCATCCCCTCTAAAAATCTTGATCTCGAACTTTCAAATCAAGAATTCAGTTTTGCTGTAGCCATTCGATTAAATGTAACAACCTCAGTTTCATATAAGTGCGCCAAGTGCAAAAGGCCAGTTAGTCAAACTGGTCGTCATTGCCTCCAATGCATTTTTAGCAGTGGACGCTCAATCCGGCATAACAGGTGTAATGCTCTCATAAAACGAGCTTTACAGTCAGCAGGCTTTCCTGCCACTTTAGAACCCTCAGGTCTCTTTACGGATGGGAGACGACCCGATGGAATTACACAAATTCCTTGGGAGAATGGCCGATTTCTAGCGTGGAATTTCTCCTGCGTTGACCCCCTCTCACTCTCCAACACCAATAAAGACATTTTAAAATACACCGAAGATTTTAAAACAAATAAATATGTGGATATTCCAGATGAGTATAAATTCGTACCAGTTGTCACGACAACCTTAACATCTCTTGGAAGTCAGGCTCTTAGCCTAATTAAAAAGATTGGCAGAACCTTAAGAACAAAATCAGGAGACCCAAAAGAAGGCGTCTACTTACGTCAACGCATAGGAATTCAGATTATAAAATCTAATTTCACATGCTTCATAGGTTCATTCCCCGAGGAGCCCGATTAATCTAGATTTTCTTCTTCTTCCATAAATCATTTAAAATTACCCCCCCCCCTTCTTCCTCGTATTATCATTTGCACTAATTATATTCCCATTATTATACTTTGTATTATGAAGTCGTTGGTTGTTAAATTTCTTAAAATTTCTAGAATTGTTAAATTATATATTTTTCTTAAATTCCGTTATGTAAAAATTACTTATATTTTATTGTAATTATATATATTTATCATTTTCATAAATACAGTATTTTTTTAAAATGTATATTTATGCGAAATTAAATATTTTAATATACTAGATTTAATATATTTTTAAGTTGTACATGTAAACTATTTGTATATATTGGATAAGTATTATGTATTATTACTTTTATATTTGTATGCCTAATAAATAAAGTATTTTTAATATAAATTAAAAAAAATAAATAAATATTATATATAATAAAATTTATATATATAACAAAAGATAAATTTTATATAAACTATTGTAAAACAATTTATAAATAACAAAATATAATTTTATGTCAAGTGCTTATTTAAAAAAATATTTTTATTGCTTTTGATTAAAAAAAAAACTATAAATACTATGTTAAAAAACTTTATATTTTATATATTTAACTTAATTCTCAGTGGCCCTTTCGCCATTTCCTCTATGACCTCATTTGGACTAGGATTAAGATCTCTATATATATTTAGAAGAGCCAATCCATTGGTCCTCGCCTGGCCAGAGGTTGCCCTTAAATAACTTTTAAGTCGAGTCAGTGTCGAAAATGACCGCTCATTGGTGCAAGTAGTTATGGGAAGTGTTGCTAATATTATTAAAAGTGTTTTGATATTTGATCTTAAGTTTAAAGTT